CCCCATGGTGGCGAGCGGGCTGGGCGTCCAGAGAGCCATGCTGGCCAGCCGGACCGAGCGCAGGCAGGCAGGCAGCCCCGGGCGGAGAGGAGGGAGGGGAGGACCGAGAGAGGGATGGGAGGGAGCCAGCCCTCCTGCCTGCCTGCCCCGCTCCGCCTTCCTGGGTCCCGCCCTAGACAGCAGTTCCCCCCCCAACACTGCTGGGGAAAGAGGGAGTGCATCAGCCCCAGCAGCTGGAGCTGGGTCGAAGGGGATTTTGGGAGGGTGGGAAGAGAAAAGAAAAAGGAGAGGAAAAAAAAAGGAGGCGGAGAGAAGCAGGAGGGAAGACAGCCAAAGGAGTCCAAGTCTCCCGGAGAGCCTGGAAGGAAAAGAGCCCTCGGAGAGATCGGGAAAAGGAATGAGCCCCCACGAGGGTTTCTTCCCTTGCTTTAATTATGATTCCTTCTTGGAGTTTAAAGCAACACCGCCCCCTCCTGGTGGATCCGAGGAGGTGGACAATGCACTCAGGGGCTGGTAGGTACAGTATTTTGGAAAGCAAATACTAGGCACAGCCCAAGATATTTTGCTGCCCGAGGCACCGTCGCCAAAGGCAGGCCAGACGGCTTATTTTGGGAAGTGACACACAAGAAATCCAGATGCTCCCAGGGGAGGTTCTCTCTGTAAGGACCTTGGTGGATCAAGCCCCTCCCGGCAGGATAAAGTTCCTCCCCCCCCAAGGGCCAAATAAAGGCACGTGCTCTACCTGGGCGCAGGCAGACGGAAAGGGTGGAGCAACGCGCTCCAAGGCAGTTGACTGCGGTTCAATGACCTCCAACGCACTTTGAACGGAGAGGCTGGCCGCATGCATCACCCAGGGACTCGCCCCAACAGGACACCTGGGTTTACGCTCGAGAAAATGTCTTGCTTGCTTGCGTCCAACTCAGATCTGCTTTCTGGAGATGAGTCAGTGCCAAGTCGCGAGGAGTGGAAAATAAACCAGCTCGGAGGGGAAAACCACGGTCTCGGCATTCCCCTCATTCGAGGGGCCTGGGAGACGGTTTTGGGCTAACGGTATCAAACCTGTTATTTTTAAAAATTCATTTATGCTGCCGTTGGCTGAAGCTCAGGAGAGATATTATTCCGACACCTGTGGATGGAGGGAGAAAAATCGGACCGAAGATTCTTTGTCCTGGTCTAAACCGCGTATCAGTGGGATTAAAAATGGTAATAAACTTAATATAATGGCCCCGCCTCTTATTCTGGCCAAACCCACTTAGGGAACCCACCCCATATTTGTAGTACAGAAAGTACAGTAGGACCCCCCCCTCCCCGGTATCTTTCCAAGCTTTCCCGTGGATGCTGAAAAACGTGGATTATAGCAAACACTATTTCAATAACGAACGTTATACATCGCATCGTCGTTGGCTGGCTCTAGTGTCCAGTTCATCTTTAGAAATATAGATTTCTAGGACCTTTAAATAACGTTTTATAAATATTTCCAGACTGCGGATAAGTGAATCAACGGATACTCAACCCCCTCAAATACCTGTATTATTTTTCTCTGACGCTGGTAAAGGGAAGAAAAAAGGAAGATATTGGAAGCACGGTTAAAACAAAAAGGTCTGAAGCCAAAGGTGTATTTTTTCCCCTCCCAATTAGTACCTTTATTAGCAAATTAAGTACCACAACAAGATATTTTCCCCCTGCAAACCAGTTTAACAAATACTGATCCGTAAGAGACGGAGGTCACTTTTGCTACACCTTTCTGAAGGCATGTTTCCTTTCGACCAAAGCCTGGGGCTCCCAATTTTCACAACCAGAAACGGACCCAGAATCGGGCGGTCTGCACTGCAAGAGAGGTGGGGGAATTCAAGAGCTGGCCCCGGGTTCGGGAGGCAGCCCTTTCGAAAAAGCCCACCGCTCTGGGGAGCGGCCGCCCCACGCCTTGAAGGCAGAACCCCAAACCTCCCACCCACCCCCAAAAAAAGCACAGCATCAAGGACGGTTTTCGGAAGAAACCGCGATTGCCTTTTGAAACAAAGGATCGAAGACTGTGGACGGCCTTTCTTTGGGGTCCGGGGACCGCTGCCCACGTGCCGAGGCTTTTAGGAGAGTCTGTAAAAAGAAGCCAGAAGGGGAAAGGATCGTGGCCACTTTAAAAAAAAAGATCAGGGGGGGTCTGTTTTGCTTGCTTCAGAGGAGCACTGAATCGGGGCCCGGACCGGCTTCCACGCCGACGTCAAAGTTCGTCCTTGGCTTTTTTCTGGAAGGACGCGAGGATGTTCAAGCGCTTCTGGAGTTCCTCTTTCTTGCCGTCGCTCATCTTATTTTCCGCGATGAGGCGGGAGATCCGGGAGACCTCGCCGGCGGGGAAGTGGTCCCCCTGGGCCAGGGTCTTGCTCATGATTTTAACGTACTGCTCGGCCGACTTCCGCTCGGTCTCCTTGACTCCCTCCAGCCGCCTCTGAGCCTCCTCCAGGAGGTCCTGGCGCGGATCCGGCCGCTGGCCGGCCGCCGCCACAAATTGGCTCGCCCGGGCGTCGAATTCCTTCAAGCATCCGGGCATCCCCATGTAGATGCCTTTGCTCTTCAGCCAGCGCTGGAGGGCGCTGGCTTTGATTTCCCCGGTGTAGGGCGACGGATGCTCCAGATCCCCGTCTTCGAACAAGTAGAAAACGGGGTACGAGTCTTTATCCAGTTTGTATTTCTCCCCCAAATCCATGTTCAGCTTGTCGCCGTAATCTGTAAACAGAAGCCCGACAAAGAGCGCCACGTTACATCCGGAGTCAAAACCAGAAATTTAAGACTTGTAAAAAAAAAAAAAAAACCCGCTTGCTCACCTAGGGCGAGTTAAAATTTTACAAAAGGCTCCCAGGCGATCAGGTTCCATATCACCCCAAAAAAGGGAGATCCAGAGCAGCGGTTTTCACCCAAAAGTAAAAACCTCAGATCTGGGATCAGCGAACCCAGTTTGGAAAAAATGCTGGTTTTTTTTAAAGACTGGCCAGGGTGTCGGGGGGATCCTATGAGTAGTAAATGACTTAAAAAGGAGGTCTGATCCATTCATTCTGCCTATATGGACAAGCCTCAAAGAAAAATCCATTTGGGCCAAGCTGACTCCACTAAAATGGGGTTTTACGGCCAAGATCCAGACAATCCTATAAAAAGTCTCTGGGGCAAAGTATTTTCCTGGGGGTGGGGTGCAATCAAACTGCTTTTTCTTTGCTGAAGGGACCCTGCCGAGGTGTGTGTGTGTGTGTCCGTGTGCACGTGCGTCCAATTTTCTTCAGAGTGGTCTCCCTGGCAGGGTGGTTGTGAGCACCGAACTAGAAGGATCCTGCACGCCACTGGAGAAAAGCGGGATCGTGCACGGAGCAAATGAAACAAGTTTAATATTAAATAAATAGAGAAATAAATAAATAAGATTCAAAGGCCATGGAAACCTTGCCCACCCCCCCAATTTCTGTGGCTCGAGTTTAAAGGGAGAAAATAGCAAGTCCTGAGATATAAGAAGCGAAAAAAGAAGGGAGTTTCCGTCCCTATTACTGCAGTTTTAAAACATAATTTTGAAAGTCTTAACAGCGGGAGTCCCTAACTTATAACTGGGCTTTTCTCTGATGCCCAAAATGACTGACGTACTTATATATGGGCAGGCAGGGGAGGTTAAAAAAAGTATATATTATTATTATTGGGCACAGATATAACCATAAAATCAGAATTGGCTTGGTGGCACATCATGATGATGATGATGATTAAAAACTATATACAGGGTTTGGCAATATAGGAACTAAACAAGCTGAAGGAGCTGATTTGAATTCAAACCCACTGATTTTGAAGGGATTAAAATGTCCTTACTTTATTTTAACCTCCTCACACTTTCTTTCAGCCTCTCTGAAAATCCTGTATATAAAGGGTTTGGCCACATATAATCTAAATAGACTGAACAGAGACATATGATTAAAATGCAGGCGATGAATTACGAAGCGCTTGGCCGACTTTTAACATACTTTAGTGTCCTAATATAAAAAGTGGAAAGGATGTCTTCAAAGCCAATTCATTCCATTAGCTATGTTTTAAAAATATATATCAATTTCGCCCCCCCAAATACTTTAAGCCACCTAAATGAGGATTAATTTTAATTTGTAATAGGGTCGTTTTTTTGTTTGTTTGTTTATATGTTTATATTTACTGCCGTACCGGGCACAGAGCAACCACTGGTCAAATGGGCAGTTTAGAAGTGAAATAAATAAATAGATCACTCGATCAATCCATCAGGGCGATTTCATAAGGTTGCACATACGGAAAGCCTTCCGTGCAAGAATTATATAGAATTAATTATCTAAAAAAATTGTGCACACACTGCAGCCTGGAATAATTGTTTTAAACGCCGTCTGGTCTGCAAATATTGCATTAAATTGAATAAATAAAAAAATAAATAAAAATAAATATTGCATTAAAGATCGACGCCATCATCTCCAGAAGCCTCACCTGAGATGCCCACCTCGGCCACCAATAAATCATCGCTGGATTCAGAGCTTTCTGCCACCTTTTTGAATTCATCCTGTTTCTCTCCGTAAGGATATTGCGTGTCAAATTTCACCAAAACAAACCTGTGCTTTGGAACCACCTAGAAAAAAGAGAAAACATCAAGAGATGCTTCAGTGGGAAAAAAAAAATCCCCCAGCCTCGAAAACAATCCAACCCAATTTACTGCTCCGTCCCATACGCCCAATCCTGAACGGCACCTAAAAGCTTCTAGTCCTCAAGAATAATTCAACTCATGGACTCCACTTCCTAAGGGATCCTCAATTAACGAGGCCAGGCGCTCCTGGAATGGGGCCACAATAATTTCTGAATCCAATAAGGAGGGCCGAGTTACAGCCTTCTGAAAATCCTGTTTAAAAACATTAAATACAGTACAAGTTTCTAGTCCCTAAGAATGGATCAGAGAAGCAGCAAACCTGGCAACTGAGGCACGGGGAAGCCGCTCGGAGTTAAGAGATCCGACTTCCCACGTGCCCGACGGATCTTCCCCTGGCCCCACCTCGGTCTGCTTCAGACAAGACAGAAAGCTGGTTTTGGGACCTGAAATGTCAGGAATCGGCGCCAAGAAAAAGGCGGAGATTTGCCCGGAGCCTCGACAGGCGGGGACGGGTTCCCACGCTTGGTTCCCAAAAGGGGAGGGTCACAAATATAATGGGTTTTACACCTTCGCCTCATTAAAAAAAATAAAAATAAAAATGCTGGGCGGACTACAACCCCCATGGGCCCCTGCTTCTAGCTGGAGATGATGGGTGTGGTAGTCCAGGCGGCTTTGAGCTGCTAAAGAGAAGAAAAAAAACTCTGCACATGCTCAGGGGCACCCATGGCTTTGAAACTTAAAAGCTTTGCTCTGGCGCTGCAGGCACCGATCCTGCGCCCTTTCCCCGGAACCCGGAAGAGACGCGTGTCTGGCCTGCGCCGCCCTCCCGTGTCCACTTGGAGACCCGCGATTGGCGACCGTGTGAACACGCCTCCCCCTCGCTTCCCAATGCGGGTTTTCCACCCCAGGGCGAAGCGAGGAAAGGGGGGCGGAGGGGGGGGGTCCTCTCTCTCCCCTTCCTTTGCAACCCTTACTTCCGAGTAAAACCTCGGATCCTCCGCAAGGAGCCTTCGTCGCCCCCCACCCGGAACAAACCACGCCATTTTCTCCATCAAATGCAAATATATATATATATATTTGGGGAGGGAAAGACCTTCGGAGGGGGGGCCTCTCCTGCCAGAGGCACCCCCAAAAATAAAATACAAACAATTATTATTTATTCAAAAAGCCCCCCCCAAAAAATGGGTTCAACGCTGGGGTTGGGATCCAGAAGGAAACCCGTTTGCCTCCTTTTTTGGGGGGGGGGGAAGCCGCTCTGCAAAACCAACGCGATCCTCCCCATTTATGATTCTTTTGGTGCTCAAAGGCTACGTCATCATCACCTTTCACAAATCACACGCCCCCCCCCAAAAAAAGCTTGCTTTTTGCAACTGAGGGCTGCAACCCATTGACAGAGGGTTAGGTCTATCAAAAGCCCGCTTCTCCCCCCCCTCCAAAAAAATAGTAATACGGGGGGGGCAGGTAAGGTGTCCATTTGAGGAGAGATCTTCTCCTCTCCCCCCCCGCCCGAGAAAAAGGGGCTTGGCAGAAGGGTCTCGGGGGTAGGTGGGGGGGAAGCCTGCCCTTGGGGTCTCAGCCCCTGCTTCTATCACTCCCCCTGTCCTGAGTTCAACAAATGAAAAAGAAAAAAAGGGGGGGGCGAAGCAATGATGGTCTTACCTTGTAGAAGGTGATGGTGTCGAGGGGGAGGGCCCCCTTGGTTTGCAAGGCCCCGCCGCCCCCCAGGGCCCCGCAGAGGAGGAGGAGGAGGAAGGGGAGGAAGAGGAGGGTGCCGGGCCGGCCCCCCCAAAGCGCCATGGCGATCACCCGCCCCATGTGCCAGGAAATAGTATGGTTGCAGTTTTATGCTTACAGCTTAGGCAGCTGTGGATTGAGTGTAACCCCCGGTTCTTCAAACAAAAAATTACAGGCCATGTGTGAACACACACCTCCTCATTTGGCCTTTCTTAGAAATGGACATGTTTCTGCTTGGCTGGGGGCGGGGTGTGACACAGAAAACCCAAGTCCTGCAAACCTTTTCTATCCTGCAGATTTCTTGTGTGCCCTTGTCTGGAGGCCCTCCCAGGCTCACACCACCTTGCCAAAGGCCATGTGCAGAGTGCATTGCCTCCCTTAGGTGGGGGGGGAATTAAGCATCAATTCTTCCCTCCACCAGAGCACCAGCAGCCAGGTCTACCTCTACTCAACAGGGGTGGTGGCATCCGCTCCGGTTTGTGGCCCGCCCTTTGCAGAGGCTTGAATGGTCTTTAAAGTTCGGAATAAAAACCGGACATCCCAGCCGCCGCTGTTTCACGAGCCGGGGATTGTGTGAACTCGAGAGAGGGCGGGCGGGCAGGCGGGCAGTGGCACATGGTCCTCTGGTGGCTGACCACAGTCAACCTAAAAACCACTTAACACGACCATCAGCCACTGGTGAACATTTTCCATTATCATCCTTAAAATCATAAATCAGAGAGTGTAAATCAAGTAGGGAAGGGGGGGAAAAGTTTAAAGACAGGTTGCCGATAAAGACACCCCTTCCCTTTATGGGGCAGATCGGAGCCAGTCCCCCCCCCATGATTCAACATTAAGAACTGCAAAACAAAAATGCAATTTTAAAAAGTCAAAAATTACTTTAAAAAAAAAAGAGAGAAGAGAGATGCTACTCACCCAACTCATCTTCCCTCCATCCAACAACACAACTGTGCGATAAATAAATTTTCTTTACAGACAGGAAGGTGCCAGAACATAACCCACTTTATCCACCAGAAAATGAATTTCATAGAACTGCTCGGCTGCCCAGAATTAGCTGCAAACGAACCCTGGCTCATGATCCAGGCGGGCATTACTGAAAAGCAATTCATTTCTCTGTAAACAGGAGTTTCTGCAATTTTCCACCCCTCTCCTCACCCCCAACACAAGTCCTGTTAAACCATTACCGCCACCCAGATAAAGCAGCAGCATGAAATTCTTCTACAAGCAGAGAAAAATTACGGGAGCAGCAGTGGAAGGGAATAAAACTGTTTTTAATAAGAAGTTCATGTCGCATCGTACAGTTCACAAAGATTTTAAAAAAGCATTTCTGGTCATCTTTTACCATTCCGGCTGAATTCCCTCTCTGTGGTGGTGGTGGTGGTGGAAATAAAATAAGGAACACCAAACAAATCAGGAACACAAAGTATGGGAAGTTCACTTCTCTCCGTTAGCAGTCAAAACAAAAAAAAAAATCAACAGCACACTCAAAAGCCCTTCTTGTGCCATGAAGGTTTGATTGTAACCTAGTTTGGGAAAATCCTAATTTTTTTTTGGAGGGCAAGATTACTCCTCGGCGTTGCAGAAATGTCACTCCAAAATGGTCTGAATAGAAACGTAGAGGAAGGCTAGATTTCAGCAGAAACCGGCTTCCAACGAGAGCGATGGGCTGAACGCAACTAGAGATTCCAGAGGGTTAATTGTGCCATGAAGGTTTGATTGTAACCTAGTTTGGGAAAATCCTAATTTTTTTTTGGAGGGCAAGATTACTCCTCGGCGTTGCAGAAATGTCACTCCAAAATGGTCTGAATAGAAACGTAGAGGAAGGCTAGATTTCAGCAGAAACCGGCTTCCAACGAGAGCGATGGGCTGAACGCAACTAGAGATTCCAGAGGGTTAAAGATATAAAGAAGGCTAGATTTCAGCAGAAACCGGCTTCTAACGAGAGCGATGGGCTGAACGCAGCTAGAGACTCCAGAGGGTTAAAGATAAAAAAGGGTAAAGGTTCCCCTTGACATCGAGTCCAGTCGTGTCCGACTCTACGGCGCGATGCTCATCCCCGTCTCCAAGACGTAGAGCCAGCGTTGGTCCAAAGACCGTTTCCGTGGTCATGTGGCCGGCGCAACTAGACACGGAATACCACGAGAGCGATGGGCTGAACGCAGCTAGAGACTCCAGAGGGTTAAAGATAAAAAAGGGTAAAGGTTCCCCTTGACATCGAGTCCAGTCGTGTCCGACTCTACGGCGCGATGCTCATCCCCGTCTCCAAGACGTAGAGCCAGCATTGGTCCAAAGACCGTTTCCGTGGTCAGGTGGCCGGCGCAACTAGACACGGAATACCGTGACATTCCCACCGAGGTGATACCTATTTATCATCTCGCATTTTTACATGCTTTCGGATGGCTAGGTTGGCAGGAACTGGGACAAGTGGCGGGAGCTCCCTCCATTGCGTGGATTCAATCTTACGACGGCTGGTTGTCCAACCTTGCAGCACAGAGGCTTCTGTAGTTTAACCCGCAGCGCCACCACGTCCCTGAGGGTTAAGAGCCACTGAAACCAACCGGGGACAAGTTAAAGCAGAAATGTCCTTAAATTTCAACAGCGCTGGCAAAAGTCAGGGACAGTCCCGTCGTGCAGGTACTTCTTGGTTCTCCTTGAAGCAGAGAATCAAGCCACACCTGCCCCTTTCCTTTGGGGCAGAGATAAAAACTCTGATGTGTTCCTTTTGGGGGCTCCTACCTTGTGAACTCTCTAAATTGTGGCAGCCACAGGTTTCCTGGATCTTGTCTTAAACTCTCCTCTTTCAGAAGCCTCCTCGCTCACAGTTATTTCCTACACCAAACACGCTGGGGCATTGCTTGCAGTAATTTATCTTGCACAAGAAAAAACACACACACACACAAAAAACCCAAAACAGAACTTCAGCCTTGATGCCTCTCTCTTATCAGGCAGGGGTCCCTCAAATAGATCTGGAGCTGCTGCCTGAATCTTGGGATCCCTGCAGATTAAACAAAAGGGGAACGAGAGAGGGAAAAATAAAAAGAAATCAAAAGTCCGGCTTTGCTTTATTAGGCGCGTCGGGTGCTCCCCCCCGGGGTTTAAATCATGAAGCTCACAGGAGTTGGGATAAAGGATTTACTGTGGAAATTTTCGATCACTTCATTTCTAGCAAAAATGAAGCAACATTATTAGAGCGGCTAGCTGCCTCAAAACGCCAAATTTCTGCAAACGTCTGATGCCGCAAATTTTGCAAAAGCTCCAAATCCTTGCTTCCAAACAGAACCTGTAATTTGGGGAATTATTGTGTGGCATTAACCGCAGCTGTTTCCCTCTTACTTCCTTTCCCTGCGTGGGAAAGCCACGTCTGGTCATCCCAGAAAACACAATTAAACAAAATTAACAAAACAGGAAAGACAACCTGAGCCCACGCCTGGATAATCAGGAGAGGCCGGCTGCATAGCGTATGTTTTCGCTGGAAGTGAAGCGTGCCGTCTCTCACCAAAGCCACAGCCTCTTAACTGAAGATCAGGAAAGTCGGTTTCGTCCCACTGCCTTCCCTAATCCTGTTTAAAAACTCTTGGAAAGGAAAAAAAAAAAAAACAGTCAATAGTCCCAACAGGAACCAATGCAGATGGATTCTCTAGTCTACAAACAGCCTCTTAACTGAAGATCAGGAAAGTCGGTTTCGTCCCACTGCCTTCCCTAATCCTGTTTAAAAACTCTTGGAAAGGGAAAAAAAACAGTCAATAGTCCCAACCAATGCAGGTGGGTTCTCTAGTCTACAAGACACGCTTCGCATGTGATCTGGAAGAGGCTTGGAAAGGGTTTGGAAGCAAATATCTATTCTGTTCTCCAAACTGATGCCTAATCCAACTTTTATTTTACACACATTCCAAAGACAGGCAACGTCAGTATCAGATTCAGAAAGCAGAACTCCAACCGAGGCCCCGACCAACGGATCCAACTGCTCAAAAAGCAGTTCTTAAAACTGCACAGGGAACGCCGGAGGGCACTGGGGGGGGGCAACCTCGAGGTTGTACGAACCCTTTCCCACCACAATGGCGGTGTCGGAATTTCTGTGCTGTGCAATTACAGAGTCAAACTTGTAACAAACCGTTCCAGTGGGCGAAAGCTAAAGGACTTCGAGCTTTCAAAACCCACCCATGTACAGTATTTATAACTCTGCAAAGCCCCAGAATACGGAATTTCTGTGCTGTGCAATTACAGAGTCAAACTTGTAACGAACCGTTCCGACTTCCAGTGGGCGAAAGCTAAAGGACTCCAAGCTTTCAAACCCCCCACCCATGTACAGTATTTATAACTCTGCAAAGATTTTCCCCAGAATAAACCTAAGATACCACTCTCCCCTCGACCGGTTATTTATTTTCTTGGGGGTGGGAGCAAAAAACAACACACAAGCATCCGCTCCAACCAACCACGGTTATTATTAGGGTGTCTCTGCCCATAAACTGAGTTGCATAAGCTTAGGACTAGAGGCATCACTGGACCGTTACAATCTTCCTCGGTGCTGGTGAGAAACCCGGGTCGGGGTAGGAGGGTGGGAACAAGAAAATAAAAAGACACTCGGGAAATTTCACAGCCAAGTATGGGCTTCGCTCAAGATCTGCTTTTCTAAGGCAAGAAACTTGCACACAAAACTATTAACGCTGCATTGTGTGGGGAGAGGAGGTTGCATAAGCTTAGGACTAGAGGCATCACTGGACCGTTACAATCTTCCTCGGTGCTGGTGAGAAACCCGGGTCGGGGTAGGAGGGTGGGAACAAGAAAATAAAAAGACACTCGGGAAATTTCACAGCCAAGTATGGGCTTCGCTCAAGATCTGCTTTTCTAAGGCAAGAAACTTGCACACAAAACTATTAACGCTGCATTGTGTGATGGAGGGAGAGGAGGAAAAAAAAACTCTTTTGAAATATGCTTTACACTGGATTTCTATTGTCGCTTCTAAAAACCTCGGGCCTCCAAACTGAACGCTTTCCTCCCCCACCACAAAAGGGAAGTGAAATAGGTCAAGAAAGGGGTTTTTCTCTCTCTGTGTGTGTGTGTTTGTTTCACAATATATGCTTATGAACAATGTATAAAAAGTGGTCTAAACCCTGACAGCGGAGGGTCCCTGCTTCCGGTTTCTATGTACAATAATTTAATCCGCTTGAATATATCTTTTTAATACATAAAAAAAAACTATCTTTACGATCAAAGTCCTTCATGCATTTATGAGGAAGTTCCAGATTTTTTAAAGATCGAACGGATGGCAGACGTAGCTTCTCGCGCCGGCTCCCTCCTGCGCTCCGGATCCGTCTGCTCAAAGCTGTAGGTTTTTAATGGTTTCAAGTCTTTTTTTCAGAAGTTCTCCGATTTCCTGAATCGCGTGCTGGTAACTGTTCTGCACTTTCCCTAACACAGTCTTTGTAAACTTCTTTTCTTCCTGGAACAGGGTGGGGAGAAAGAAAGAAAAACACGCACACACACCAGATTATGTATGGAGACAGTAAAAAAGAGACCGGCTATGAGTTAAATATGAACCAGACCCTTAATCGCCCTAACCCATGTTCAAATATTGATAACATGAATGCTGCAGAATTAATCACCCAGCCTCTGGGTCTCCAGGAAGTGAGATTGATCAAAATGAAGAGCTTTCTTTTAATGAGCCCTGCCTGGCACTCGCTGGCTTCTGAATAGCCATGCCCCATTTTGCTAGATTAAATTTCGGGGTGAGTTCTCTGTAGTCCAGCCGTTTTAGTCCCTCTCTCCGTGCTGTCGGCAGGGAGGACATAACAGAGCGACGGGCTGGAAAATCTCTTTATTTTTTTAGAATCTCAATCCAGCTGTTCTTCTCGAGTAGACAAGCCAATGGGGGGTTTAGGAGGTCCTGGATCCGGTTCCCCGTTTGAAAGCTCCTCTATTGTTTCAACTCTGCTCGCTAGATATCATGAATCTACATTCTGATGAAGTGGACTTCATGATCTATGAAGAGTTCTAACAAGCAGCCGGGACCAGTCGAGACAGCTTCAAAGCTAGCCCATCTGTCGGAAGGTGGAACATTTAAAGATGGTTTGTGTTTTTTGCAGATCCCCCCCCCCCGACCAGTGCTAAGTTTTTCCAAACATGCTAGGTGTGTGAAAAAAGTTGGAGTGATCAACAAAGGCAGGGCTAGAAAAGAACAGGAACTGAAAAGACCAGAGAAATTTTTGCAGAGTTCACCCACTATTTGATTTGCAACGCTAGTTCGGTCAGGAGAGCCGAGTTCTGTTTGCAAACTTTCAGCGGTGGAGAGTTTAGGTGGTCTCCTCTCGCTTCCTGTTTGCTCTGGGAGTCTGTCCTCCTAGCCCGTCTCCAGCCAAGACTCAACTCTGTATCTTACCCGCTTTGAACCATCCACCTTTGGCGGAAAGAGGCTCCTCTTTCGTGTTTGCCCTGAACACAGACGTCACAACCAGAAACCCCTAGCTAAAAGAGTTAAGAGTGAAACAAGTTCTTAATAATCAAATGAATACATTAAACTTCTTTGGGTGCCCTCCATGTGGATGCAAAGCTGGGCTCTTGGGAAAAAATAAAGAAAATCTCTCTCTGTCGCTTTCTAACCTCTCCTTTCATGTAAGCCACCTCGCAAACATGCCAGTTCTTTCTGCCTTGAAGGCAGGCTATTCATTCAGCACGCCGGGACATTTAACCTGTCGGCCTTTGGCGGGCTAAAAGCCACTGATCTGAAGAGCAGAAGCCAGACCCTCAATAGAGTTTTCTCCAAGGTATCCATGAAGGATCGATCGCCTCTTATTCCGATCGGATGGAAACTGCAAGCGCCAGGGACAACCGCTGGGAGAGACCAAACCCTTCTGTTCTACCATTCACATCAACTGAAATGCTGGGAATTGTAGTCTCCCCCCCCTCTGTGATACCCTCCTTGGGAGTCAAGGTGCTACTAGAGAGAACGCCCGGTTCTCCTGCCCTCACTCAACTAGCTTCCAGGGATGGTGGATCAGCCAAAAGGCTCATGGCCCAAAGGCTCGCAAATCCTGGGCCAGCTCTGATTTTTGGGGGTGCCGTGGTGGAGGAGGAGACTTAAATGCCTTTGGGTCCTGGGCCATTCAGGGCTTTGCAGCTCAACCGCAGTGCCTTGAACGGATCGGGGTGGCGTGACTTAGAAGCACCTCACCTGTGACAGTACGTTGTCCTCTATAGACAGCTCTTCAAGTTTAAGTGTAGTGAGGGAGGTTTCAAGCCCTTTGATATGGTCTATCACGTTGGAAGTGAGCGTCTGGAGCCCGGAAATGTAGTCTTGGAAGCTGGTGAACACGGGGGGCTAGAGAGAGACAGAAGTAGAGTAAGACAGGGAAGGTGGGGTGAGCCAAAAAAGTCACACGTGCATCACTTTCTTGGATCCGATCCCAAAACATCCAACCGGTGTGGCATCTCGTTTTCCAAACGCCAAGCAGCCAGATGCTTCTGAGAAGCCAAAAGGGTTTATGTGTGACAGCAGCCACACCTCAGAAGCTACTGGTTTTACTGTATTCATCCTATATCATCTCGGATTCCTTCCTTTTTAAAAAGATAATAAATAGATTTTTTTTTCACTCGCCCATTTGCCAAAGGACGATTTTATAAGCTACGAGCTCAGTAGCAGGCAGAATTTTCAAATAAAACACCATAAGGCCAATCAGATTTTTGTGACCTTAAGAGACCAGCAGTGCGCCCCCCCCCCAAATGATGAATGCAACTGGAGGCGTAGTAATGGCAGTTAAGAGTGCAAGAATATCCACAGTCAATGTACAAAGAACCTAAGAAATAAACAAGGTGCACCCTCTTCAGCCATTGGGTATGCATTCAATGTCCTCCCCCCTCCCTTATGTAACGAAGTCTGTCATTTAATGCAATGAAGCGGGGGCTTCTCCTGTCTTCCGTGAATCGAAAGCCCGCTTCAAAAACAGGCCCCCCCGTGGCCAAATGGGGAGGTTGCAATCCGCCAGCCTTCGAACGGGGACGCGCTCCGGAAATGTGTCCGAAGCAAGCAGGAAGACAAGGAGGAGTGGTTCGCCCAAGGCTTACCATGGCTGTCATGCTCTCTTTCTTCTTCTTTTTCTTCTTCTGCAGGCTCGACCGGCAGGGCCGAAGGACGGTGTCGGAGTAACTGCACACCCACAGGACGATGGAAACAGTCTGGAAGGAAAAGAAGGGTGTGTGTGGCACCGGGAGGCTTAGAACGTTGCCGGATTCTGCAGCCTCACACAGGAGGAAGGCTCACGAAAAGAAAAGCTGCCAAACGGCCGCCCGCTCACCTCCACAAAGAAGACCAGATTTTCTAAAACGTTTGGATGGGTTCTGAAGCCGCCCTCCCTGGCTTCCAACAGATCCCCTCTGCATTTATCGACCTGATCTTAAAAAGGACAGAAAGAAAAGAGACCGGTCAAATTGTGAGCCTCACGTTAAGATGAACACATTGTAGACCCTGTTGCTTTGTTGGCGAGGGCCCTCCTTTCCTTGGGAGAAATCCGGAGCCTGCAATCTCTCTCTTTCTCTCTCTCCCACACACACACTAAAGAAATTCAAACCAGCATTCACTGCAGAGCCACTGATAATCCAGCAGACTGATTTAGCATTTCTTAAGGAAGAAAACAAGCAGTTGTGTGATTCTATACTGCTCCAGTCTGTACGCCAAATGCAGCTCTTCTGGACTCGTCTGACGATGACCCAGGAGCGGCACAAACCTACTGTCCAATTCAGACAATTCTTTCTGACCAACAACTTGAACGGCTTCCTCCCTTTATCATGTGAACGATGACCCAGGAGCGGCACAAACCTACTATCCAGTTCAGACAATCCTTTCTGACCAACCACTTTCAGAAGATTGAACGGCTTCCTCCCTTATCATGTAGGTTTATAAACGAAATTGCTTTTTAATGGAGAGAACGCCCTTCCGTTCCTTGTCTGGGCGGAGAAAGCTGCCCACCCACGGGGAGTGAGAATCTTCTCCCAGCGTTGAGGCAGAGGTGCCCTATAAACATCCATACTTTTACACCGCCTATGGCCAACACCTTATTACGTGCCGGCAGGGGAAGAGGGGCAGCTCACGTTTCTGCAGGCTGCAAACTTTCATGCCGTGATTTGCAACGCTAGCTTACCTGTTAGCTGTTCTAGTAACGACTTCAAGCTATTCCCTATTCTTTCTTGAATGGCTGTCGAGTCTTCTGAAAAGAAAGACGGGATTAAACGGCTTATCCAAATAGGACAGGAGAAAAAAAAGATTTCAAAAACCGAGAAATTTAGCTAGAATATGTATAAACAAACAGCAGCTAAGGGGGGAAAAGTATACGAAGAAAACTGTACAGCTCAATGAAAACAGGAGATGCTGCCATAACTGAAGATGAGGTAAGGAGGACAGACCAAGAACTGGCAATTTCTTTTTATCTGAAAAGGTCTCGTTACTGAGGCTATGAAAACCTTGTGGAGAGAAGATGGTCAAAAGACTAACTGATCTGGCGGGAACGTTGGTCATTTCATTGGTTTCAAAGCTTACTTTTCTCTAGCAAGGGTGAGTATTTTTCAGCTAAGGACTGTGCGTGAACATTCCGTGACATCCCAGCAGCCTGGCAAGGCCCAGATCTTCAAATTGATATAAAAACCTAGCATTATTCCCCACTGCCCCACCTTAGTCCGAGTGCAAACCGGCCCCCTACTTCCAGGAATATCGAGGGACTCACCTAAGCCATTGGTATCAAGTTCGTAAATTTCACTAACGAGATAAAACAAGCTGGTCTGACTTTGGCAGCTCCCGCTGTTGAAATAACAAGCCATTCGAGAAGGAGGGGGCCCCAGGACTGGGTACTACAGAAGAAACAAAAGAGAAAGGGGGGGGGGAGAGGAGAAAAAAATCACACCTCTCTCACAACAAAGGGAAACAGCGATTTCTTTCGGGATAGCCCGTTTCTTGCTTTCTAAGATCAGTCATCACCCTCTGGGTAAAAGTCCTCCAAATGACCTATATGAAGAGCACAAAGCCCCAAGCGAGCCCACGTGAATCAAATTAAAAGCAATGTGATAAAACAAGTGGCTTGAAAGAAGCACAAATAACGCCAAAGGCAGTTACAAGAAGATCGAAAAATACTGTGAAAACTGCTTAAAAATGCAAGACAGCACTAGCTATATTTGGCTCTCAAGTACAGCATCAGGCTGAGAATTCAAAGCCTCCACCCCAGAGGTCGTCAACGCGTGGTCCGTGGCCCTGTGACGGTCCGTGGTCTAAGCCAGACTGGGCCACGGAGACAGACCCACCCTGCCCTGAGCCAGACTGGGCCACGGAGACAGACCACCTGCCCACCCCGCCTGCACTCCCCTCCCCACAGCTGTTTTGTGTGTGTGCATGCGCGCACCACCCCTCCCCACAGCTGCTTTGTGTGTGTGCATGCGCGCACCGGCACAAATGCTTCCCCACCGCTTCACGCATGTGCCCAATAGCACAAGCACATGTGCTCAAGAGTGCGTGCACGAGCGCGGGGTGTGTGCCCCGCCTTCCTCAGAGGCTCAGCCGGTCCGCGGTCCGTTAAAGGTTGGGGACCCCGCTGCTCCTCTACCCGGCACCATCAAAAGCTGTTTGTAACACAGCCGAGAAAAAAGCTTTCTCCTTTTCTAGTTACCTGGACCTTCTGCTCGAGAAACCGCTTCCCGGAATTCACGGCCGTGTCCAGCTGCCGCAGCAGGGCCCGCATGGTGTCGATTTTGGAAGAGACGCCGTTCTCCGTGGTCTTCTCAGAGTTCTTCGGGGGAGCGCTGTGGCCGAGAGCGGGCAGGCCGCTGATCAGCCGTAGCGTCAAGGACCGGATCTGCAACCACAGGGTTTCCTCCGCCAGGGAGAGCCTTCTGTGCTCTTCAGAGATGCCCCTGACAAAGAGAAAGCGAAATTCGCACTCAGAAGCGCCAACATGAGCAACCCTCCCCCCTCCCGCAACCCCATCAGTGGCCTTGTTTAAAAAAAACACCTACCTGTCTTTGGGGTCCCAGTTAAATAAGACGACGAGGTCTCGATTGTCCCGCAGATCGTTCCAAGGAATATCATCCTCTTCCGGGCTTAGACTCATGGACTTTATACTTTCTTCCAGACTCGTCGATCTAATTTAGAGGGGTCGAAACAGAACGACTTGAGTCTGGTAGGCACAAGCGAGCGTGCTGGGAGCTAAGAGTTCAAAACAGCTGGACAGAAACAGACCGGGAAGGATGCTCTAGCGGCACCTGTCTGAAAAACCACACGCTACGACCCCCCAAGTCATTTGCGCAAATCCACAGATTCTTTTTTTAAAGGACGAGATAGTCCACATCCAATAAAAACTGTGAAACCCCAGAGGAACACAGGAGTCCCTAGAATGCCATCTGATATGTTGGGTGAAAGAATGCTGAGTGACTCCTCGGATCCTTTTATCGTTTATATGAACAGAATGGCTAATAAGGGACTCCCTGGTGTATACAGAAATTATTGGTCATTGTAATATACTTGGAAGATACCGTATTTTTCCGTGTATAAAATGACACTTTTTCCTTAAATAGAGAGAAAAAAAATTGAGGGTCGTTTTATACACAGAAGGCAGCTTGTTATCGCTGCCTTTTGCGAAGGCACGGGGCTTAGCAAAAAGGAAAGGGAGCAAAAAGGGTGCCATTTGGCCTAAGCTCCGTGCCTTCTCAAAAGGCATGGCAAAGTGGCAGTCACTTTGACAGTGGCTTTCCTTGCCTTTTGCCAAGGCAAGGAACTTAGCAAAAAGGGTGCCATTTGGTCCCTGCTTTTCCCAATTTGGGGTTAGAAAAGGGAGCGGGGATGTATACAAACACACACACACACACTCTTCAGCACTGATCTGAAAGGGAATCTGGTCCCCTCTCAGGAAGCCTAACGGTGCCCTGACTCTTTCAGCTCCACTGCCTTCCCGCCTGCCTGGGTCCCAAAGACGAGAGAGTACAACGTTTTAAAAGCTCTCCCCAGACTCACATATTTGCTTCTAGGAAGAGGTCCAGCAGCATCCGTTCCGTCCGGACTTGGGCGAAGTGAAGGGAGGAGTTTAGCCTATTCCGGAAAGCGATGAATTCCGGGATCTTCTCAAACGCACCGTATTTATAGGCTTGGATAATGTATTCTGAGGTCTAGGGAGGAAATACATCGGGGCCTCAGCATTCATGAGAGCAGGGAGTTAAGAGAGGTCTATACAGATATCAAGGGGAGAGACAAAACCCCCAGGGCCCTCTCCGTCCACGTGGGCCGGACTTGAGGTGGACATCTCAGTCGACCAACTCTCTCGTAGGCGGACTTCGCCATTTCTCCTTGAAAGCCTGCTTCATTAAGCTCCTCCCAGGGCAGAGACTACTCTGCCTGCTATCTTTTATGTCGATGTTTAACCAACTTCCCGGGGCTGCCGTGAAGATAAAAACAGGAACTACGGCCACTCCAAACACTTTGAGGAAGGGTGGGAAACAGCAGAATCGGGAGATCTGCAGGGATTCAGTGCCTCCCGCAGATGATGAAAACCATGGAAGAATGAAACACGATACGTGGCATGACCTCTGGCTTCTTCTAGTGGCCAATTCTGGCAAATAAACCCCGGAAATACGTACAAATACATATTTCTGAGGGTTTTTTAAAATTATGGTAATTTCAAGGCAATGGATAAATGCATCCGTGGATACTGAGCCCGTGGATAGGGAGTGTCCTACTGCAATTTAAGAACTCGGCGCTGTCAGTACACGATTGCACAGGGTGAGCTATCAGACTTAAAGAGTCTGTCCAAGACTGGAGGAAAGGCGAGGGGCGGGAAGGGGTCGGATTTATGCCTTTCCTTGACAAGAGATGCTTCTGAGGGGCTGTAGGTAATCTCGGAGGCAGGACACAAGAGACGCAGGGCGAGGTGGGAGAGCGTTGCCACTTACATCTTTTTGATTGGAGTGGTAAAACCTGAGTGCAAAGTTGCAGGATTGGGCCGCAGCGGCGTAGTGACCGAAGGCTGGGGCGTAGCGCGTCAGCAAGTAGCTGCAGCCGAAAACAAAACACAAAACGCTCACAAGAATGAGACCCTCGCTCTCCACATCCCACACAAACACACACACGTAGCTATATACAAAGCACCAGACTATTGCCAGGATTTTTTCTTCTTTCCTTAGCAGAGAAAGGACCGCCCGTGGATCATTAGTCTCAGACACACACACAGGAAGTCTCAGGGGATGAGCACGGAAGAGTTCAACCAACCTGGGTGTGATTTTAAGAGATGCTCTCATGGGAGCAGCTCAGAAGGCAAAAAAACAAAACAAAACAAAACAACCACATAAAACACCCGGGCTTTCGGTAATCACGGAAAGGAAGGCGAGGCTGCTACTCACCCGATGGTGTCGTGCTGGATGTGCTTCGCGTCCAGGCTGGAGTACAGCTCCACCACCGGTTCGAAAGCCCCCAGCATGCAGTAGATCCGGATCAGCAGCAGTTTGAACTGAGCGTTCGAGGGACTGTGGGCCAGCCCTTCTTCCAGGAAAGCCAAGCCGTGCCAGGCCGCCGACTCTTCGCCTGGGGAAAGAAGATCACACCACACTCCCGTGCTGAACGGCGACTGGGGCGGTGAGACCTTCTCTGAAACTGAATTTGGCCCTCGGGCTGAAGGGAGCTGCCCCCCCACCCCCCGCTCTCAGCCCTCGGCGACGGAGAGGCGAGCCGCCCCTACCAGTATAATAAGCCTCCTTTTCACGAAATGGAGAGCTTTGGAAACAGGAGGGCGGCGAAGGTCGGAAGGGGAGAGCAGAGGAGAGAGAGAGAAAGGATTCTGCATGCTAGTCTTATTCTATTTATTCTTCTCCTTGCACGCATCATCTTATTTTCCTTTACAGTAGGACCCCTCCCCTTATCCGCAGATTCCCTTTTCCGCTGCCTGAAAATACTAAAGGCCCTCAGAAATAGGCATTCATGTGCATTCCCAGGGTGTATTTACTAGAACTAGTCATTATCAGGAACCAGAGACCATACAGTGTATAGGGTTTGATATTTCTGTATGTTTTCTTGGGGGGGGGGGGCAGCGTGGAAACGATCCCTCGCGGATACCGCGTTCCTCCTCAACTCTCCTTTCCGTTAAAGAATATGGCAGCCATTCTCGTACAGAGGAAGGACGTCTGTCTCTCAGTCACTTGGGGTTTCCCTTTTCTGACCTCTGTCTCTTATCGCTGTATGCGCGCCCATGTCCCGGGAGTGGGGTGGGGGGGCTTGTAAGGACGTACCTGCCTCAAGCCAGATGTCGAGAAGCAGATGAACCGCAAGCAGACAGTAGTAATCCGAAAACTGCAGCTCCGTTTTCAAACAGGACTTTCCTACAGGAAAAAAAAAGAAAGCCGTGGAATGTAACTTGAAAACTGGGGCGCTTCCAGCTGTTCAACACGAGCAGCTTTGATCAAGGGACCATTTTCACAAGGATGGTATACAGTATATATATATATTTAAAGCAAAGCCATTTCTGAACGTAGACGCGTGCCCATTTTTATTCTTCCCGAGAGAAACTGGTCTGTGTGGCTTATGTGGAACATAGGAAAGCATGACTGGAAAATGAACAGGGCGGCAGCCTCTGGGCTGATTATAACCTCTCTGTCTTTCATGGGCGCTGAACGAAAGGGCTAGGAACGGCGGCTGGCTTGGCCGAGCGCGCTGGACAAGCGTAACTTTTCCAAAGGGAGGTCTGCACATCAAGCTTCAAGTTCTCCTCACCAAAATCCAGCCCGTGCCGATAGCGCAGCATCAGGTCCCGGATCGCCCCCAGCTTCTGAGTTCTGTCCATCGCGTGGTAAAGGCCGAGCAACCGGGTCAACTGGACGACGCACAAATGCTGCTGCAAGGCTTTGATGCTGGCCGGGAGCGCCGCTTGGCCCTCCGAGGGGGACGACAGGGGGACGATGCCCAGCAACCGGTTGATGAACTGCAAGGGGGAAGAGAACGGAGCAGAAAAGGTCCGATTGGCAAGAGGTTGTGTGAATATACAAGCAGGGGCAGAAGGCTAACGAGGAAAACACCCTAATTTTTAAATGAAAACACATTCATCCTCCTGGATGGTCTCACATGGGACAGGAATGACATCAAGGAGGGAAACTAGGATTGTGAAGGAAGAACACAGCACTTCTACAAAGCCGAAGGATGCAATGAGGACTAGAAGCTCACTTTTTTTTAAAAAGGGGGAAAGCAAAAAGGAGGAGGAGTGGCGGAGGCAGATCATGGGAACACCAAGGTGTGTGTGGTGGTGGTGGTGGGCATGAGTGACTGGGCAGGATGCCCCTTCCCATCCAGCTCTGAAACACCCCGTTCATGTTCCCCTAAAACCCGTTTTTAGAATTTGCTGGAAGGCTGTTTATTTCCCATCCTCCTCCATCAGGGCTACGCTGACTACAGGGCTGACACAAGCTGCAGGCAAACAGCATCCGGAATACAAGACACACACACACACACAAACCCCCGGTGAGGGATTTCAGAAACCCTTTGCTCCTGGGGTCCTAAAGGTCAAAGGGCGGCCAGAGACCCTGCAGGCCTGATTTCGGGTCCTGCCGCTCCATCTCTCTCTCCCGACGCTTGCTCAGAGAAGGGATGTGAAGGGAACCCTGGAGGTTAGAGCCGCAATGTCCGACACAAGGCTCACGAATAACATCTGCCGGATTTGACCTCAGTGTCCGGTGGCCTCTGATAACAGAGGAGTGGAAGCCACCCACCAAAGGAGGGGAATCGTCAGGAAAAAAACAAAACAAAAACAAACAAAACACACAAGGCCCTGGGTAAAAAAAAAAATATAACCATACTGTTGTCCTCAGCAATTTTGTGGACAGCCACTAACAAGCTGGAGATTTTGCATTTGACCTTTTAGTCACAGGGGCTTAGCGGAGGAATGGGCTGAGCACGGAGATTCACAGCAGCTGAAATCATCCCATAAACACAGGCTTCCTCCTGTAGTAAATATTTAAAATGGGGACAGGACACTGGGAAACAGAAAAGCAGGAATACCGGGAATGTATCTGGGCAAACAGCACCTTCTGCTCCACCCACTTCAAGGTGGCACAGAGGTAGGCGGGCTTGCGAGTTATGCAGAATGCTGAACCAGACAGAAGAGGCCTGTGATGCACAAAAGCTTGCACTGTTTCAGATTATTAAAAAATTTTTTTTTTAAAAAGGGGGCAGGGGAGTGTTCAAATCTCTAACCTGTTTCAACGACTGGGGCAAATATGAGAAACTATACTTGAAGCAAAGAAGGTGACCATTGCTGACGGGATCAGATGGGCTATGGAGCTTACCTTGGTATACTGGGTGGAAGGAAGGAGGTCAATGAAGACCCTGAGATCAGTGAAACAACAGGGCTTATCCCCGAACCGTTTGAAATACTGGAACATCAATTCTTCTGGATCGCCTAGTGAGTGAAAAACGAGCAAGTGAAATGTGGATGTATGGAATGCACCCACCCTTTGATAACCATCCACCAAAGGGTTATGACGAACTCCAGATACTGTGCAACCCAACAAGGCAACTGGTAGAGAAGACTGACGCATCCTAAATGCTAGCTTCAACCATTTGATCCCAAGGGGTGAAAGGAATGCCTTTGGATCTGGCAAACCATCTCATACTTGAACGGGGTGGATTCTTGTTGAACTGCAAGACTAGGAGGTCAACGTTTCCAGCACCAGGGTTGAAAAGAGATGCTGGCTTACATAAAACTAAACGATGGTGTTAGCGTTCTTTCCTACGTGCTCATTCACGAGGCTCTGCTCTGCTCACTGAGATGGTCAAATGTTTACTATCCACCTCTTGTCTCTTCATGTCAAGGAGACAAACAGAAAGCAAAGACATCTCTCTGAAAACCACAGGGTGGACTTCTGCCGTCCTTGCACAGAAAGCAAAGACATCTCTCTGAAAACCATGGGGGGGGGACTTCTGCCGTCCTTGTGCAGAATTCACATCAGCTGCTAAAAATCTCACGACGGAGAAGAGGGCATCCGTTCCCCCGTTTTCTCCTGCCAGGCTCAATTCGACAACTTTATCACAGCATCCCTTACCGAAGGTGTGTTCTTCGCTGCAGCCTCGGCTCGACAGGCGCCGGATCAGTTCCAGCTGGGCGAGGTACGGGCCCCGGAGCGGCCGCGTGCTGCTGGCCTCTTCGGCGATCCTCTGCTCGACGAAAGCCACGGCCTGTTCTGTGGTGTGATGCACCTCGCCTTCCAGAGAACTGCACGCAAGGAGGAGCGACTGAGTACCAGAGACGCCATCACGCCTCTCTGAAGGTCAAAATGCTGCAGTTAAACATCATCTTACAACGGCAAAGCCAGAAGGGAAACTATGGATCGCCAGGGCCAGTGGGGACCCAAAATCCCGACCTCTGGCCTTGTTAGCTGCAGCCCCATCTGTGGGAAAGTCTTAACTCACGCCCCCTGCAAGCTCATCCGCGCAACGCTCTCAAATCACTCACTGTTCTCCTTCGGCCGGAGGGGTCCAGGCCGCGTCGACCAGCTGAAAAATGGAATCGAAGTAAACCATATAGAACTGCCAGTCATCTGGGCTGGAACAAAGGAGAAAGGAGGAGGGAAACTGAGCAGAGTATCAAAAAAAAACATATTGTCCCCTGTGTAAGGTTGGGAGGGCCAAAAATCCGTATTTGTGATAAAACTGCTCTGTCTGTCACAACCAGATGTGTGACGAAACAACTCTGAAACAGTCTTAAAATACTTCCGAGTGACTTAAGGGGAAGGCCCCTCACAAAAAGAAACGGCGTTAGTAAGACAAATTTAAGTGAGCCTCGTTAGCTTTACGGCAATGGAAAATGTGTAACAAGAGAGTTACACAAATTGGAATGAGGGGGAACGAGAGGAATAGGACGTTGGGTTTTTTTTAAAACCCCTGTAATAATTAAGAAAATATTCCTTTCGTGTCACAGTGGTTTCGACCACGAGAGGGGAGAAAATGTCCAAGAGAGGAAGAACACAAGGGTCTATTAGGTGTAAGTCTGAAAACGATTGCAAGATGTACTTTAAACCTTTTGTTTTTCGCACCATAAGACGCACGTTTTCCCCACAAAACAGGGGGGGTGGAAAGTCTCTGCGTCTTATGGAGCGAAGAAAACAGATTATATTTTCCTGTTTTCTTCTCCTTAAAAAATTGATGCGTTTTATGGAAAGGTGCGTCTTATGGAGCGAAAAATACGGTATGTTTAATAAAGCTTTAAATGCAAATAACAAAGCAGCCTTCCACTTAATGCAACGGGTGACTTTTTACTATGCAATTAGCTAAAATCACATCTCCCTGCTGTGTGGGGAGGTCTGTATGTGAAAGAGCAAGATTTTAAAAAAAAACTAAGAGCTGAAAAACTCCAGGGAAGGCCTCGTTTCCCCGCCTGCCCGCCCTTCTTCCCCACTCACTTTTTAAGCAGAAGCCGTCTTGCCAGCGCGTTGCACTCCGGCCACTTGCCCAACTTCCTGTACATCTCCATGCATTTGTTCTCTCTGCTCTGCAGTTCGCTGGTTAACTTCTCTAAATCGAACGAAGGGGTCACACATTCAGACAGACGGCCAACCTTGTTCTTTCTTTCAGCCAACCTCCGAGGGAAAAGCCCCCCCCCCGGAAAACAAATCCAGCTAGTACAATGTTTTTTTGTGGGCTTGCCGGCAAGGACGGTCTACTAGACCGCACGATGATCAGGCCGAGCCAGAGCAGAAAGGGAAGCTTCTAAAATCAGGGAGTGAAGGCCGAAAGAAGGTGGGCAATCTCTTTCCCTTCGAGGGTGTAAATTGAATTTCAGAGAGGTGTTTGGCGGCTCACACACCCATCATGGTGGATAGGGCCCGAGGCAAAAAGCTGGTGATGAAAAATACCCATTTTACGTAGCTGAAAGCCTATATTCCCAGTAACTGAGCCACGTGTGTGTGTGTGTGTTTCTCTTTTAACCTTTTGGAATGGGAAATTATCCGCCACGTGAAGTCAAAACGTGTGTCGTCTTGACGGCGACAGGATGCGGCTTCCGGTCGAAAGCTTGATCTTTCATTGTGTTATCAAAGGTTTTGGCTTGGAAGCTCAACCAGTCAAGGTTTTGTTGTTGTTGTTTTGAGCCCACAGTCTGTTTAACCAGGACGGGTCACCTTTATTTTTCTAAGATGGCCCAAGGAAGGAGAAAAGGTTTTCCAAGGCTGTTGGCCAGACGGAAACCTGATTTGACCCCTTTTGGAAGCTTGAGAGTTGGAAGTTTGGTTGGCTGATAACCTTTCCAGTGTTAAGGAAAAGATAAACCAGAGGCGAGAGGGAGCCAGAAGGCAGGGAACTCTCCTTGAGGCTGTGTGGGTAGGGGTTCTTCCGGGCTCCTCCCTGGGCAGAGACCCCAGAAGCAAAGAGAAAGAGAGGGACCACCCTCAGATACTGCTTTTTGTAAACTTAAGGGACCGTCTTAGAACTCACATATTCTTAAATTAAACCATCTCTGTATAAGAGACATCCATGTTTCCGTTCAGATATTTTCAGACAGGGGCTGTTTTTAAGGCAGTGGCCCCCAACCCTTGGGGCCTCCAGATGTTCTTTTCCGTTCAGATATTTTCAGACAGGGGCTATTTTTAAGGCATGGTTCTCACAACCCTTCCAAAAAAATAAAAAAACCCTTTAAAATGTTGTTTATTCACACAATTAGATTCCTCGGGGAGCAGGATGAAGAGAGCCACTGCCTTCCTCTCCATCAACTAGTTTTCAAGTCCAAATAACGTTCCGTTTTTAGTTATGAGCTTGTTTACAGACTTGGTGGCTGTCTAATCTGAGACAAGTTACCTCCTAATTTCCCCCTCACGACATCCAGAGCTTCCTGGTATTTCCCTAAGCGCTCCAGGATCATGTAGTAAAGTTCGACCTGCCGAAGGGAAGGAAAATACGACGCGATCAGAAGGAAGCATCTCTGAGCCACAGCGGGATCGGACGATATCAATAAAAGAGGCAGGCTGGGGAAACACGGATACAACCTCTATGGCAATGTATGAGCCTCTCATTTTTTAAAAAAATTTAAATTTTTTTAAAACTCTACCATGAGTTACAAAGATAGCAACAAAAACCCAACACACAGCTAATTATAACCTCAACAATAACCTTTTGCACTAGTCAATTGTAAACAGTGCGGCAATGTATGAGCCTCTCATTTTTTAAAAGAAGTTAATTAAAAAAATTTTTTAAACTGTACCATGAGTTACAAAGCTAGCAACAAAAACCCAACACACAGCTAGTTGTTATAACCTCAACAATAACCTTTTGCACTAGTCAATTGTAAACAGTGCGCAGAAAGGAGACATTTAAAAATTTAGCTGCAATGAATAAGCCACAGGGTAATTTGAACCTCGTTCGTTTCAAGCATTCACACATATTTTAAAGAAATCTTACCTCGGCTTCAGCTTCGATCTTATCTTCCTTCACCATTTTTTCTACCATCCTCTCAGCCAGAGGTAAGAACATGGTTTTCGAAAGCTTCTCGTCTTGTGCCGATATTGACTGCAAGAGAAGAATGTGGAAGCTTTTCTGATTTATACTGAATTAGCCACTGCTCCACTGAATACAGAAATAGCTACTTAAATGGTCAGCAGTTTTTTCCAAGTTCTGTCCTCTAATTTAAAATAAAAAAACAGAAACAACCAAGGTTGAACTTGGAAGGCCTGCCCCCCCCAAAAAAAGCAGGCTCACTTTCCCCTACAGATTCGGTTGGAAAAAAGTAATAAACTGTCAACCTTCCAGCAAACAAATAGCGCAGTCTTTTGACCCCCACCTTAAAGAAATATTCAAAAGAACTCTCTGCTGGTTTCACGATAACACAATAGTGCCAACACAGTGAACTCAAAAGGAGGTTAAAACAAAGGAGCAGTGGGGCGTGGAGGCGAAACCAGCCATCTTTCCCCGTCACCCAACATATGAGCATTACTGTCTCACACCCCAATACAAACTAGTTCTGAAAACAGTTTCTTCTAAACATACAAGCTTCCTTTCCTGAATTCCAAGTTTAGACAACATACTGATACACCGGAGAAAGCAGAGCGGTCATGCCAGAGGTGGTGGCTGAAAGGAGGTCAACGGTCACCTGCAGTTAACGCCCCATTAATATTCCAGGATAAATTAAAGGAATAATTATTTGTCTGCTAGAGATTACTTGAGGGCATCTCAACAAGAACTCAGGAATCCCCTCCATGGAAAATCAGAAGCTAGGCTAGACCACCTTGGGGTTCCAGATGTTCTTGGACTACGACTCCCAGAAATCCCGGCGAGCCACAGCTAGTGGGGAAGGCGTTCTGGGAGTTGCAGTCCAAGAACGCCTGGGGATCCATGATTGGGAACCACTGCATTTGGTGCTGAGCGTGTGGTCAGCTTACCTGGGGGCTGGGGGGGGAGAAAGAGGAAAATATCAGGCATTAAGTTTTGTTTTTAAAAAAGGGAGGGAAAGCTATTAATTTCAAGGATTATCATCATCTCCCTCGAGAGATTTTACTCACCTGCATAATCAAGCTCATCACAGACCAAAAATAGTACGGGTTTTTGGGGACGATCTTATAAAGTGCCATTCCAGCCTGAAGGGAAAGAGAAGAGCACCTGTAAACACTCTGAAATGCTTCGTTATATTGATTTATAGCCCGTAAGAACCTTTCAGGAAGTTATGAATGCTTTTGCACTATATTCTTGAAGCAGAAGATAAAAGAGGCGAAGGAGGAAAAAAAATTATTTTTCAAAGAATCTGCTCCAGCATGTATAACAAAAATGAAGCAGAAACAGCAATAAAAGCATGGTGACACCTTAAATATTAAAAGATTTATTCCAGCAATGATTTTTACTGGATTTCCATCTACCTCCTCTATACGTGAGGAAGTGGACTGTCACCTACAGAAACTCACACTGAAATTACAGCTGTGTAGACAAAAACACACACACACAGAAGGCCATGCAGCTAGCTGGATTTTTCTCTGTCTGAAACCTGTTTTCCAGTCCTGTGAGAGCGCTCTAGGTTTCTCAGTTATGATGGCAAACTAATTATTTGCAATAATTAGACTCGGAGCGCTTCGAAGGTTTCACCTGGTGAGCTGTGGCTGCTGTAATCTACTGACATTAGCTGAGCACTTACTGGAAAGCCCCCTTCTCTTCTGTCTAGTCTCCCTCTAGGCTAACGCCTGCGGGCTTTCTAATTAAGCAGCTTGTACGGGGAAGACAGGATCCTACATGTTTGAATGGACGTTTCTTTTAACGGTGAACAAACGCCAGTGGAATCCTTTGCTAAGAGCAGCTGCGGAGCGTGTACGTGTGTGTGAATCATCCTCTCCCTCTCAGCCATCCACGGAGCCTCCACTTTCTATGCCTTCTCACGCCGCTGTATGAAATACCAGAGGCATTTGCCCAGACCTGCTCACCACAACAGCGAACCCGAATCAGGACAGGACAGATAAGCTTCTACATCACAAGCCAGCACTTGTCAAAGTATCCTCCGAGGAGCCCTCGGGAGCTGCATCAAGGGGTCCTCAAACTCGAGAGAGACCCAGGAAGAGGAAACAAATCCCTTCCTTCCACCCATACGAGACTGTTTTTTTTTTTTTTGCTGCTGCTCCTGAACTATCCCTCTGGAAGGCCAAGACTAAAAAGCATAAGAGCGAGCACTGGCTGTGTTAAGTTTTTGGTTCTACGCACACCCCTAGGCCGTGACAATAGATAAAGAGGTTTGCGTTCCATTCTGCCATTCTGAAAGACACCTGAACCAACAGAGAATATTTCTGCAGACCGTGCCTGACATATCTCCAGAACCCGATATTACAAAATGATAATACCTTCAAGTCTGCAGACCGTGCCTGACATATCTCCAGACCCGATATTACAAAATGATAATACCTTTGAGATCATCATCATCATGCAGCCAGAGATTTAAACCACGGAGCTATTGCTGTTATCTCTACATTCCCGATTTTAAAAAAAATCAATGCTTTTGCACAAAACTTTGCTCAAATGGATGAGCTATTTGACGGGGACCCGCGATCACAATAATAATAATCATCATCATCATCATCATGATGCAGCCAGAGATTTAAACCACAGAGCTATTGCTGTTCTCTCTACATTCCCGATTTACAAAAAATTCAATGCTTTTGCACAAACTTTGCTCAAATGGATGAGCAATTTGACGAGGATCCGCAATCAAGTTCCTTGCAAGGGATCCTCACGTTAACAACAGAACACGCAACAGGGTTGCGTCTTTAAAAACATTTCAAGTTAAATGCATATGAAAATGCACGTTGCTTCTAAAATATCTGAACAACCAACGTTAAAAACAACTGGAAACATAATAAACTTGTTCCACCCTTCTACTATTAAACCCGACTCATTCCATCTCGGTGACGGAGGAAGACGTCTCACCCTGATATGTTTCCCTTCCGATTTCTCGGTTTTTAAAAATGAAAAGTTAAATTTATACTCTGCTTTTCTCCCCACAAGTTGTGGATTCGGTGGTTTAAAACGGCTGTTTCCTATATGATAAGAAACAAGACTTTAAGAAGGATGGATCAGCTTGTGTATAAACGAATCTTTTCGTGTTCTTTTAGATGGACTTTAAGCCAAGTTGCTTTTAACACAGCAAAGTGTACACACATCCATTCCCCCAAATGAAGCGGGTTCTTGATTCTGGCAAATACCTGTTGCATCTTCTTGTATTCCCCAACTCTTGCATACGCCATAAAAAGATGGGAATGATATTCTTCACTGGTAGGTACTTTCTTCACAGCTGCCTCGTAGAGTTTGGTTACCAGCTCAGCTAAATTTAGAAAACAAGGGCCTGCAACAACGAAATTCACAGACACCCAGAGACCAGACACAGAAAACAAGGGCCTGCGTGTTACATTATTTCTTTCCTTTCCTTCGATCCTACCTTTCTCCCGTGAATGGGAATTAAGATATCAAAACAGTGCAGATAAAAGTGAAACATAACAAATAACGTCTACCATTGCATTAGTTGAATTCAATCTGCTTAGTTGCTTAGTGGAGTGGCCCACTCCCAGGAAACCCTCTTGGGGGTCCTTTAAGTCCAGGATCTGCCCTGCCTCGTCTCTCTCACTGAAATGCTACCACCCAGATTTTAAAACTCACACCATGAGAGAGACGTCTACCATCGCATGAGTTAGCCCAGGGACCGAAACCGTTGCCTTTAGGAGGATGAAAACAGAAAGAAACCTATGGCAGGACATGCTTTGAGTCAGTCCTGATTAAAACCCTTCCGCGGCATTAAGGACACCATCGGAGAAAAGAAGAAGAGAAGAGGAGCAAGAGACTCACGCCGATGCATTTCTCGGTAGAGGATGGTCAGGGCTTGCAAAGAGTTGTCGTCGGTGGGTTCGAGGGCTGTGACCTCCTGGGCCAAAATGAAGGCTTCGTCCTGCTTCCCGGTCCTCTGCAGGCCGATGGCTTTCAAAACCTGCCGGGGGGAACAAACAGGCGGCTTTTTCAAGGGTGCTTCGGCTGCTGCAAAGAGGAAGCAACCCGTACAGAGGAATCAAGTTGCAAGGGTTCAATGAGGGCCACGAGGCTTCTGTGGGTGGCCGTCCGAGCCTGAATCCCCAACTCTGATGCCCCACTAGAGTAGACCTACTGAATCGCTGAGAAGATGGCCGTTGTAAGCGAACTAAGTCCTGGCACTTCTCAAAATCAAGAACATGCAAACCACCGGTGGGGCACAGAAGTGGTCTTAGGTAAGACATCAGGATTTTATGAAATAGCACTAAGCGTTTCCTCCATCCGCATCGCCTCCTATTTTCTACCTGTCCCGGTTTATCTCTCTATCGGCCATCAGACTAGTCTCTGTTGGCTACCACACTTTTTGCCAAGGACTTCAGACACTCTCGAAAGAATGGAGCATAATTTTAAAAAAACTTTTATATTTTTGCCTACCCCTGGCATAAACCCCTCTGCTGCTGTTCTAGTGCATTATTGTTTTATTCTACTACACGTCAGGCTGCTGTTTAGCCGTCTGTGTGTGACTCAGCCTGCTGACCAACCCCTGACCAGCTTATTATGCTATTGGAGGCAGATGGAAAACAAACACTGGAAATGGATCAACCTTTGTTCCTCTGCCGTCAACGGGAGGCGGCAAAGCTGACCTCCTCGTCGTTCACGAGTTTCGAGAAGGGAAAGGCTGGAGGAACGAGGGTTAAAGGCCAGGAGGAGGGAAACGGGTGACCCTCGAAATGGATGTCATTAGACTACAACTCCCATCGTTCTTACTCACTTCTGGCTATGTCCCACAGCAGCTTGGACGCTCAGTTGAAAAACTAAATCGTTGTGCAAGCAGAGGATGTCAAAGGCAGACGTGATGTCATCCTTCCATAAAGCAGAGTTTAAAATGAGCGGAAATCTTCTCCCCAAAACAGCAGCTCAGAGAATGAGGCGGGAGACGCCTGGATACGACCCAACCCAGACCAGCCAAGGAACTAAGCTAAGCAGCAAGAGTCTGGTTCTTCCTTATTTAAGATTCCGCACACAGAGACCATGGAGCAGAGCAAAAATAAACGAAAGGCCAGCTCACCTTCGCACAGTGGAGATCTTTGTGTTTCTTAAGCAATTTGTCCGCTTGCTGGATTGCCATTTTATTATTGCCATTATCAAGATAATCTAAGGAAAAGAGGTGGAAAAACACACAGGTTAGCACTGGAAAGGTAGCCATCCCCCCCCCCCCCAGTTTTAGTGCACGGTGTTGTAGTCCGATGCGGCTCAGTCGAAGGGAAAACAAAGAGCCGTAAGGTGAAAGAAGAACACAAATAGGGCTTGGAAGGAAGAAAAAACATCATTTATGGCTGAACCGTAGACATTAGGGGTTACTCAACCAATTGGGCAGTGGGGAGATCCAGAAGAGGCATGTGGCGCCCCCCCCCATCATTTATGGCTGAACCGTAGACATTAGAGGTTATTCAACCGAATGGGCAGTGGGAGATCCAGAAGAGGCATGTGGAGCCCCTCCAAGACCCGTCTTATGGCAATGTCCTTATCGGGCCTACCCAAAGATCCAAAAACATCGGGTTCAGAGTTCTCCAAAACCCTTCATTAGTGTTGAGGGTGAGCCATCAAAGAGGAGAAAGGGACTGACACGACACCCATGAAGTCTGCATTGAGTCGTGAGGCCTAATATAGGAAGGCTGCTGACAGTGACAGTTTTCCCGTACGTGTTGAACTGCCGAGATGATGAAATAAACCAGCAATGTTTAATCGCCGCTACATAGCCACAGTAATAATCTGCAGTGTGCAGAGGGAATTATTGCCTTCTTGATTCTAGTATAGCTGGGTCTTTCTCACAAATATAACCCGGTCCCTGGAGCGCTGGGTGAGCAAAAAGGTTGTCTTAAAATACATTTCACTCATTCCAAAATACTTTATCCCCTAAATTCCTCAAGGTTCCAGTTTTTTTCCCCAACTAGGAAATAAAGTCTGAAAAGTTGTTTTTGGAGTGGGTGGACGGGGGGGGGGAACAGTTCGAGTTTTGGTTCTTATGTACTCAGTTCCACAACATACATACAGTGCATGAACCTAAAACGGTATCACAGAAGTTTCATTGAACACAGCTGCCATCCACTTACTCCCTTCACTTAATGTTATTTTTCCACCCAGAAATGGGGCTCATGGTGGTTCATAATGAAAAGCAAAGCATCTTTACAAAATCAGAGAAAAGCAGATTCTGATCATTCCAGGCAATATTTATAATGCCGAAACACAACGGATCAAATTAGAGTATTGAAAAACTTGTCTTAAGAAAGCATCTTTTTTTTAAAAAAAAGAAAAACCACTGCAAGGTACAGCACTACACCATTAAAAGTCTCTTTTGAGGCATCAGCGTTTGCTTGCGGGCTCAGCTCTGCCACTGAGAAAGGATCTCAATTTTTCTGCCATACAAGGCTTTTTATTTTACTAATGCACAGCATAAAGGAGGCAGCGACAGATTCTTCGTGGAGATACGTATTGGGGCAAATGGAAAGCCAAAGAGCCAAAAGGAAGGCGCAATCAGTAGGGACGGAAAATATAAAGGTTATGCCTCAAACAACTTCAACAAGTTTATCCAGACCGGGGATTATCGTCACTATGTCCCTGAACAGCAGCAAAATTATTTCAGATAAGCCACCCATGTGAAGCTTCATTTTGAGAGAGAAGAAAGTCGGGAAGGAAGGCAATAAAGCTTAATTAAAATTCTTACAGGACACAGAATGAATCAACATGAAAAGCAAAAGAAAGACTCGTTCATTAAACAAGCATTATAATATGAATGTAACATGGTAAGAACGTGAACAAGTCATGTTAGGCAAATGAAGAGGTAAATTCAATTCTCTCTAGAACGATGGTTCCCAATCTTGGGTCTCCAGCTGATCTTGGGCTACAACGCCCAGAGGCCTTTGCCATTTGCTGAGCTGGCCAGGATTTCTGGGAGTTGTAGTCCAAAAACCTCTGGGGATCCCAGGGTGGGGAACTCCTGCTCTAGAGGAAAGATGCTCATTTTCATCCCACTTCAGAATTGAAAAAGCAACCCCCTCCATTCAAAGCCTTCCACATTTGTTGGACCAGCCTTCCCATGCATTGGCTGGGGATGATGGGAATTAGAATACAACACAACTGGAAGGCTCAAGTTTGAAGAAGGCTGTTGCAAGAACAGAACGCACACACCATCCCATGATGTCTAAATGCAGAGTAAGTGTTACAGGCTAGTATAAATGGGAAAGCAACACTTGAACCGAACTTTCAGAAATCTGTAGACGAACAAACAGAAGTTTGTCCCGTTGAGTGACAATTTCTGGACAACATTAATGACACAACTTTTTGGAGGTCACTCACTTATACAGGGTTGCCGTAAGTCAGAAATGACTTAAGAGAACTTAAGAGAAAGTTGTGTTTCAAAATTTCACAGAGGTAGCTAGCTGTATTCGTCTGTTTCAGAAGGTGTAACAAAAAGAGAGAGAGAAATAAACACAGAAAAAAACAGTCTGACGGCACCTTGAAGACTAAAATTTTTCAGTGTGAGCTCTTGTGGACTCCAACTCATTTCCTCAAACATAGAAAAGGAAATATTTAGCTATAGATTAATAATATACAAAGGCATACACTGTGCGGATGGGGACCGCAAGAATATGGCTAAAGGCCCAGAAAAGGGCAATTTCAAATTGACAATAGCATTACTGACACAAGTATAAAATGTTTTCAGAACGCCAATCCCATAAATATCCTAGCATGACCAGAGTAGCATAAGCGGTCTTTGAAGTGCAAATATGTTGAGCCAGGAAGACTTTTTCTGAATCAATTTCTCACTTTGAGACCAGCATCAATTACTTTTTGTATATACAAGATTGAATTATATATATTTTTTTTACTTATTAATGTGCAGAGAGCGAAGAACCGTGGTTTCTTATTTGAGTCTTTCAGTAAGTTCTGTGGATGAAACCTATTTCATTTCTCCCCGAGATACCCCTTCGTAATGCTTTTGTTTTCAAGCGTATTTCCCGAAGTACTGAGAATTGAAGACATGCAAATATGAACATTTTTAAAAGTTAAACAACTCTTATAATTTTCTAGCCTGGCTCTCAAACCGAGTAGCCCTTCGCCACGCCACTGTTCACTTTTCCAACGCGAAAAACGCCCTACAGAGAGGTGTGTATGTAAGAAACACACACACGACACACAGACACAAGAGATGGAGAAAAGCAACTACAGTAACTATCATCCTTGAACAAATGCCTCCAAATGGCTATTTAGGGTCCCAACCCCTTTTGCAAAGGATTTAAAAAAGCCTCTTGAGATCTTAGGAGAATCAGGACAAGGCTGGGCCACCAAAAGTGGGCCACGAAACAGAACCTTGGAACTGCACGAGATACTCACAAACCTTTCCAATCACACCTTTTGAAGCCCAGAAAAGGGTTGAGCTTCAATACCGCAAGACTCCAAAAAAGCCCTTCTTATGAGCAAGTTCACCAACGCCTCTGGTTGGGTCTTAACTTGGCGTGAAACATCTTGGAATTTCTCACCATCCAGTATTGCACTGTGTCTTCTTTCCAAACCACGTCCACGAAGCTGCCCCAAAGCACCCCACGTGTCTAACCGACAAGAGTTGGAAAAATAACCCCATGTGGTTCCCAACGAAGATACCCCGGCCAGCCTCTTCGGTCCAAGGAATGGGGGAAACCCAAGCTAACGTGACCCCAAACGGCCGAAATGAAAGGAAGGGTTCCCCCCTCCCCACGGTGCCTTCACTGGGGGAGACAAGGCTCTAAAAAGAGACCAATATAAAGGTTTCGCAGGACCGAAGTCAAGAGAGGAAGACATTGATTCCAACTGAGGGTGGCATCATTCCACACAGCCTGAAGCAAGGAAATAATTAATATTTGGATGGGACAGAGCATTGGCATAATTGAGAAAGAGGATTCCAGGATGCACGTGGCCGATCATTAATATGGCTGAGGGATTTGTTACTACCTGCGAGAATCTTTTACGGTTTGCAAATGGGCACCTGTGAGATTCAGCATCCTCTCGTTTTTTTCCCCATACAGTTGCATCAAAAGCAAAGGAGTAAACGTTGCAAATTCATATTTCTCCTCCAGGTATTTTTCATGCATGCTGTTCAAACATAAGATTTCTCCAGAAGTTCAATACAGAGGATGCATGGAGGGATTCAAACTCTCTGGGACTTGGGTCAAGAAAACATGCGCAAAAACCAATACCGAGGCCACTTCTGGCTTCCTATATGTTCCACACTATTATAAGAGTTACCCAGGCACAAAAATTCTGGAAAAATAAACCCCCCAAAGCTGCTAATAGTTCTTGCCTTCCACCCTAATTCCGAAAATCGGACGCATCTTCCAGCTTTCTTTCGCCCGGAGCTCTGCAAGCGTTCACCTTAAGGATTTAGGGTTCTCACCACCCCTTCCCCAAAAGGCAGAAAATTATACGTAAAGGTTGCATTCTCCCTTTTGCCAGCTTTATACACTTCTGGAAGCAAACTTATAATTTGGGATAAAGCTCTATTCTGTTCCTCCAAACACACAAGGGGGGGTGGAATAAATGGGCAAGCGGTCCGTTCCTCTTTCTTCAGTCCTACTAATCCAATATTAGGGGGACAGCTATGGGGAGTGACTGCTCAGCCCCATCCCAGGAATGTGGGGGGAAATATGCAAAAAGGCTGGAAACCCCCACCCCATAACAACAGATACACAACTGTGGGGTTTACACACATACCCCAAGCCCCTTTTTCAATAGGGCTACAAACGGGGGTACTTTGCTTAGCCTCCTCTTTCCCCAATATATCATCAGTAGGGCGTGGGGGTGTCTTATTTCCCCCCATGCAGCCCCACACGTGAATAGGGGGGCTTCGTGTCCCTGCAGCATCTATCCTCTTTTGCATCACAAGAACCCCCCCCCAAACTGCTATCCCAAAGTATGGGTCTCATAAAATTGACTGCTTATCTCTCCCCCCCCCGGTGCCAAATAAGAGGGGGGGTATTTGCAAACCCTACACAGACCGGCCAAACCTATATCCCAATGGGGCTAGAAAAGGGGGGGGGTGCCTGCTGATTTGCTTCCCCCCCTCCTTTCCCCAATATTGAGAGGGTGCAAAAGAGCCAGGCTCCAGCGTCCCCCACAGACAGCCCCCCCTTGAAGGAGGGCATGGGGTGCCTCCTCAGCCCACCCCCCCTCCCGGGCCCCACAGAGCCCCC